TCGGTCTGTTTAAACACGATAGGACAATAAAAATTTATGATTTTACTTGAATTATTACATATTTTGATTTGATAACATTGAGCAACCAATATAAATTAAATCTGGGCTCGAAATAATACCGTTCTAGGGTATCAATTCTCAAGAGTAAAGTGGATAAATCATTCTCAAAATGTAAAGCTCACCCCTATATATAGGGGTGAGATACCTGCTTCTAGAGGCTGCTCGGGTTAGCTGAGCTGGCTGCCGAAAAGCTGCCCGGCCTGCCCGTCTGTACACACATAGTGTGCGTGTGTCAGAAACAGTTATCATCATAGACCAATATAGTCGCACCACGTGTCCTCTGCACATGGGGTAAAGATTCCTTTATATCCTCCTCGAAGGTTCTTGCGCTCTGCCGTGTTCAGGTCAATCCTTGGGCTACTCCCAGTTTGTGAAGTGGTCGATCAAATGACCTTTTGCTTGGCAGGTCGATCTTTGACCAGATCCCCCACAGACCTAGGATCGACCTGTTTTCTCGTACTGGGATCACCCGTACCCTGTCCTCGTGGTGCTCGACCACAACACTCTGCTCGATTCTGCTTGGCCAAGACGGCCTGTTCGGTTCGCTGAACTCATTCGAACGGCCTAGCGGACCGGTTTATCCTTTAGGTATAATATCTCATATCAGGTATATAGTATTAGTGAGAGTTGAAATGTGTACACTCGAAAAGCAAAAGCTTTGAGTATAAGTAGGAGATTGTTGGGTGGTATACTAAAAGCTTTGTTTTAGTTTAAATCAATTTATTTTTTTCAGAAGAGAATCAAATTTAGTCAAAAGCGTTTGCATTTATATTTCAAAATATGGCAATGCAAACTTTGTCTTATATTATCGATTCTTTGTGCAATATAAATAAGGGTTATGATTGAGATACCAATGGACAAACCAATCGGTATGGTTATAGTATAGTTTTAGTTAGTTTATCTTAACTAATAAATTATACTAGTACACTTTTTTGTGTAATGAATTGGACCCCGAAGAAGTTTATTTTATACTGATCCAGTAAATAAACTAGACCTCATGATATGCTCGTACTCTTAAGTCGTCTGATAATAACGGGCACGTGTATTTAGTATTTATTGTTTTGATTCATCAAAGTGTGAGACTTACTCTGCTAGGTTAATAATTCAATGAGTTGGGAATTATTATTATTTAGATGGTTGTGTTGATTATAATCAATCACCGTATATTGGTGCGCCATAGTGCTGACGTCTCCGAAAAAATCTCAAAAATGAATATTATGCTAAACCTTGTTGGTGGATTAAGTTTCGGCTTAATAATAAAGATTGGGTGGTACTAGTTTCAGACAAGAAGTTAATTAATTAAATCCAGTAATTAAATTAATTAACGAACGTTATATCTTTGACACGAGAAGATGAATCGAGTATAGTAAAGTCCACGTAATTGGGGGTGAGGAAAAGGAAATGCAATAATAAATATATAGTGAAATTATTTATTATTAATAACCCAAGGAATAAGGCTTACCACAACCAAGTACTTTTTGGCCCATCGGGAGTCGTATTCCTTACCTTCTTAAGGTCCTTGTTGTAGCCTATAAATAAACCATATAGAGAACTCATTCTCAAGCGTGAGATATAAAAAAAACACGTGACTCCCAACAAATATAAGGTTGGGGACATGAGTTTGATAGAACAAGGGAAAAGGAGTTCTAGACATACGAGATCGGAAGATCGTTGCCCACACGATGCCCAACCAAGGCGAAAGGAGTACATTAGAAGACATTGAGGTCACGGGTTGACCGACGCACATTGCACACGATGCACGACCAACAAACAACTCACGACGAGGTACGCGACGTACCACACACACAACGGCGACGGGCGGCGCAAGGCGTGGCCCACGCGAACGACAAACGGCGAGAAGCGACCGACGGGACGAGACGCACACGACAAGGCAGATGAAGAGGTTGAAGAAAAACTCAAACTTGTTAGTCAAACCCCGTAGGTCGTGTAAGCCACATATATTCGACATTAACAAATAAGTATGATTCGAATAGAACTAGTGCGGTGCTAGTAATATTAAGGAAAATATTTTGGTTTGGATGATGGAATCATTATTCAAAACATAAAACACATTTATTAGAATAAAAGAAAATATTATTTATATATTATTAATTATCGCCTTGTACACAACATTTTTTGTTTGAGTTTTGGTATATTGTTATGGCCACAAATTAAAATCTTCTAATCTTGTAAATCTAATGATTCGTAACGTGTTAAACAACTAAATACAATTGACAGTACTGAACATTGATTTCTTCAAGAACATACCAGCAGACCGTACTGAACATTGATTTCTTCAAGAACATGCCAACATGCGATATTTTTTTCTTTTATTTATTTATTTTGGCATTTGACATTGTATGTTTCTTCCTCTTTTAATTTTTTCATTGCATTTGATATGGTATCTCTTAATGGAATATAGCAATTTTTGCTTTAAAATTTAAGTCAGGAGTATATATCACATTTAGTGTGCTGAAATGAATTGTAAAAATTGATTTGTATCTATATCGGGGTTACTGTTTGAAGCAAATGTTATATTTAGGCTTAACAATTGTTAGTATAAATAAATCTGTTAGGATATAATATTTTTGGTAGTAAATCAATCGGTACGTTAAATAAGCGAACGGTATAATATGAATTAAACAAATGAAAGAAACATCTGTGATAATCGAATAGTTTAGAAAAAATCTTTTAAGATATCAAAGATGTTCGTCCTTTTTTTTTTTTTTTTGGCACTTGATATTGTATCTCTTAATAAAATATAGCAGATTTATTTTTTTTAAAAAATAATTTGGTAGTATTTCTCTGAGTGTAGTTCAAAATTTTTCCTTGCTGTAAATTCTTTAGTTCGTCGATGATTTATAGGTATTCAAGTGTTGCATACACCGTTATTTTCATGTTGCTGCATAAAATTATGATTTTTTTTTATTTTTATTTATTTATTTATTTAATTTTTTTTATCAAAAGTATGGTGTTGTGATGTATTTGATAGAGTTAGAGAAACAATAAAATACAGAAAACCTACCTCGAACCATATCTTTCATCAACCAAACAATTGATACCCATATATATTAGGACTGTAGATATGATTATTATAATATATCAAATATTTAGTAGAATATATGGTAAGATATGTAGGGTTTTAAGAAGATTTAGTAGCCTACTTTAATGGTGTATAAAATTTTAAAACATATACAACTAAACTGAATGTTATGTTGAAATATATAATTTTTTGATAATAATATCCTTGATTTTTTTCCCATATTTAATGGATTTATGTATAATAATCTTAGTATCATAGGAAATCATATATATAAATTTGTACTGACAAAATGTATTTTGACCATATGCTTCACTGCGTTTCGGGAAAAAAAAAAAAGAACATATGCTTCACTGCAAAATACAATTTTATTTTTAGAAAAATAAAATTTTATCTTTTATGTTATTTATTGTTAATTATTGATTTATTTGATAATATTTTATGCCAAAAAAATCTATACTTTTGAAGCATAATACATTCTCGATTTATTAATGCGATTGAATCGGTTTATGTCCAAATTGAATTAGTTTATGTCCAAGATGTATTTTATGAAATGGAGTTAGTATAATACATTAACGATTTTATAAACCTATAAATACAATTATTGACATATGTTTAATGAAAAAAATATAAAAATATATCTTTAATATATATATTGTTTGACTAAGATCAAGATTATTTATCATTACTGTTACTTATCACACATATTTTTATTTAATTTTACACGAAAAAAACTATACGTATTAAGTGTAATATGTTATGAATTTAGTATTTACTGAATTGATAGTATATCCTTAACTTATTTGTCTATAACATTTTAAAAAAGATATGCTCAAAGAAATGGTGTTTGACATTTAAAAAAGATATGCTCAAAAAATTTTGTGAGATATATTAGGATAAGATTTATACGCTTGAATGAAGATATATGACTTAATTCAAAAGTTATTAACAATCCCAACTGTAATCTATAAATTGGGATTTATAGGCTTGAATGAAGATATGATCTGAACTTAAATAAATCCACACGGTTTGCAAGAAATTTGGGATTTGATTTTTATCTATAATTCAAACTGTTATCAAAATTGGCCACTAACTAAAATTTAATAAATTTCTCAGATTTTTAAATATATTCTACAATTAGTAAGTCAAAATTTTGACTCAATTATTTTAGGTTTTTAAAAAAGAATTTAATATTAACCTTTTTAGATATATATAGATGTTATTTTCGCTGCGTAGGATTGTTATCTTAGATTCTCAATCGATCCAAAGTATGATCAGCGAGCGTTTTTCACTATACCCAACACTGAATCCCAATTGATTAAAACGAGGTATAACACAAACCCCAATTACCGTAAGGCAAACACATGAGCCAAACAAATAAACCACATAATTAGGAACGAGAAACCAAACATGCTAGTTTTGGTAAGAATTTGCTATTATTGATGAGTGGTTGAATCGGCCAAACTGGTTGAATCGGCCCTTGACCACGTGTTTAAATTAACTGGCCAAATTGTCAAACATCCCCGTCAGCGCAGTTATTTAAATTTTGAACGCGGTACTAATGTCCAAAACTGTGACTCAATTCAGCATGTCAGACTCATCATATATTCCTTCGTTTTCATCTTATTATGCCGACAAAATAATAAAACCCAATAAAAAATCATATCCTGTTTCCCACACCGCGTGGCCTTTTCGAAGTCCACAGTCAAAATCCTTCTCCCGAATACTCTTAATTAAATATAGAGAGGCTTCCCAGTCGTGAATTCTTAATACGCAAGTTTTCTCTCCCTCCTAAATTCTCAAGTAATATACTCCACTCCTCTTTCATTTCAAACACCTCCAAACACAAAACCCCTCTCTTCTCTCTCTCAAAACATTTCCAAAGTAAAATAATTCCAAAATGAAGGGTTCACTTTTTTCTGGGAGCAGGCCTTCAACCCCCCATTCCTCACATCAGAATTCTGTCTCTCCACAACGGAGGAACTCACAGGAGATGGCTATGGAGGATATGGTGGACCAGGCAGAATCCATAATAAGGAGATGGGATGTTGACCATCAGGAATTCTCACCCCTATTTGCCGGCAACAGAAAGGAGGCCGCTCTCCTTCTCGAGGCGGTGGCCGGCCTCCAGAGCGCCATGCAGTACTACGTTAACCTCTCTTCCAACTCTCACAAACTCATCACAGCCCAAAAGCTGATGAGGATCGCCATCAAGAGACTTGAGAAGGAGTTTTACGTCATTTTATCTTCCAACCAAAAGAATCTGAATCTCGACTCCGAATCCGTCTCCACCCACTCATCCACTTCTACGCTTTCTGACTTTTCGGAGGACGAAATTTCCAACTCGGTCGAGAAAACTTCGGATATGGCCATGGCGGACCTCAAGAGCATTGCCAACTGTATGATTGGTTCCGGATACGGCAAAGAATGCGTCCGCATTTACACACTCATCCGGAAATCGATAGTCGATGAGACACTCTACTATTTGGGGGTGGAGAAATTGAGCCACTCTCAGATCCAGAAAATGGAGTGGGACCTTCTCCAAACCAAAACTAAATCCTGGCTGCACGCCGTGAGGGTCGCCGTCAAAACTCTCTTCCACGGTGAGAGGATCCTCTGCGACGTCGTTTTCTCTTGCTCGGAGAGAATTTCCGAGTCGACCTTCGCGGCCATCTCCACAGACGCCGCCGTGACTCTGTTCGGCTTCGCCACGAATTTATGGAGGAGCAAGAAGGTTCTGTCGCCGGAGAAGATCTTCCGGGCGCTGGATATGTACGAGGCGATCTCGGATCTGTGGCAGGAGATCGAGTCGGTCTTCTCGCACGTGTCGCTGGCGGCGGTGAGATCTGAGGCGGCGGGTGCGCTGGGGAAAATCGGGGAGGCGGTTAGGGTTATGCTGGCTCAATTCGAGGCGGCGATTAAGAAGGACACCTCGAAAGCGCCGTCCAACGGCGGCGTCCACCCGCTCGCCCGCTACGTGATGAATTTCCTCGTTTTCATCGCCGATTACAGCGGGGCGGTTGCCGACATAGTGGGCGAATTTCCGGTGAGTGCGTGGACGCCTCTGCCGGAAGCGTATTTCTCGAGCCCCATCTCCGGCGGCGGAGAGGATCCGTCGGTGGGGGAGATCACTGCTAGGCTGGCGTGGCTCGTCCTCGTCCTCCTGTGCAAGCTCGACGCCAAGGCGGTGCACTACAACGACGTCGCACTGTCCTATTTGTTTCTGGCCAACAACCTAAACTACGTCGTTTCGAAGATCCGGAATTCCAATCTGGGGCTCCTAATTGGAATCGAGTGGATTTTGAAAAACCGGTCAAAGGTCAACCAGTACTTAGCCAAATACCAGAGGATGGGTTGGAGTGAAGTGATTTCCTCAATGCCTGACGATCCAACGGCTGAGATTAGTCCGCAGGAGGCCAAGGAACGGTTTAGACGGTTCAATAAGGGTTTTGAGGAAGCATACAAGAAGCAGATTTCATGGGTCATTCCCGACCACAAAGTACGGGACGAGGTCAAAATATCCCTTGCCAACAAAATTGTCCCGAGCTATCGGGCCTTCTACGAGAAGCATCGAGAATATTACAGCATGGAGGTTGGCGTCGAGGCAATTGTCAGATATGCCCCCGAGGATTTGAACAATTACTTGTCCGACTTATTTTTTGCTGATGCTGGTGGGACCGGTGGAAGTACGACGTCGTCATATGGGAGCTCTAAATTATCTTCGCATGGTCGTTGATTTGACTCATTGGAGTAATTTGTAGAGTTGACTTTTTTTCCCCTAAAAACGTGGGTGAAAATCAATATTCTGAAAACTGGACAGGTCATTGAATCGGTGAAGCTATTGGTTCGATGGTTCGCTGGTCGGATCAGTGGTCGAACCGGTTTGACTAATATATAATTTATTTATTTATTCTATATGTATAATATAATATTTTTATCATTAATTTTATAGCATATAATGACATTTTTCTAAATAAGAGCTGATAAATCAATATTTTAAGTATAGTTTATCATAAGCAATACTAATTTAAGTTCACTAGAACAATAGATTAATAATTCAATATCTAAAGCACGACAATTTAAATTAAAATATAAACTACAAAGTAATAAAACATCAAAATACATCAAATCCAACGAAAAAAGAAATAATTTCAAGTAGTTCAAGTTAAAAGCCATTACAAAATAACACATTTCACCGACTAGAACGAATCATCATAATTTTCACTAATTCCTCCAAATCCAACATCGACATAACCATAACCAAGAAGATCATCTTCATCTTCCCCATTTCCATCATCTCCACCATCACCGGAGTTCAAATTGGATGAATCGGGCATATTTATGTCCATGTTAACGTCATTGTGATCTACGTAAATGAAAAAAAAAAGAGCTTAGATTAACATGAAGTGCTCAAAATAAATATACCAAATCGGGAATATAATTTTTTGTAAGCAAACAACTTACCAACAATTGGAATAGCTTGTTCATCATAAATTAAGTTTCCAACTTCATTCTCATCAAATTCTGGTTGTGGATCTTCATCCATCACCCAAAAATCAAGCTTGTCAATGCTTTCATAATCAATTGGATCATAAGATCTTTTCTTTTGATGCTTCCTATAATATAAAAATTATAATTAATTTAGAGAAGTTCAAAACATAATAAATGCCAACAAAAGAAACATTGCACATATTAATTAATAAATAATAATATTAATTTTCCTATCTTTCAAACGCAAGTTGTAAGTGATGTAAACATGATCACAAAGCCTTTGATGCTCCAGTCTATTTCTTTTTTTGGTGTAGATCATATCAAACAAACTCCAGTTTCGTTCACATCCTGATGATGAGGAAGTTTGACTCAAGATGCAGATGGCAATATTTTTTAATATGGGAGCACTCCCGCCAAACAACCTCCACCATTCATCTGCAATAATAAAATAGGAACAAAATTTTAAAAAAATAAATGAATTAGAGAATATGTACGTAAATAGAATTATACAACTATAAATGATATTTTACCTGGTGTAAGTGATTTTGCAGCCTGTAAACAAGATAGCCTAGCGAAACTATCCTTGCGCTCTCTATATATCTCTATCTTTTTCATTGCTTTAATCGAATCATTACATAGGCTCTTGATGTCCAGTATATCAAGTAATCCATTCAACACTCTATGTTTCTCACTAAAACTTTCATCATAAAAGAAAGCAGGATTGAGAAAATAAGCTGCAGCATGGATACTACAATGCAAGTGTTTATCCCATCGAGCCTTAATAATTTCAGTGTAAGGCTTGTACACACTTTTTCTTTTTCCGAACATCTCTTTGATCCCATTCTTTGCCCTTTGAATTCCTTCATACACATACCCTAAAGAGGATTTTTCGTCCGCATCAACAATTCGCAACAGTCTAACAAGAGGGCCTGCAAGCTTAACAGCAATTTGGCATTCTCGCCAAAATTTTGCATCAAATATAGTTTCACAAACTTTTTTCCATTAACACTTTTAGCTAATCTATGACCAGTAAAGTGTTTATCAACCACCAAAGCTTGCAAGTCCTCTTTATGATCACAAATGCTTTTTAAGGTAATCAAGACCGTAGCAAATTGAGTAACTCCTGGACGTACTATCTCCTTCCAACCAGGCCTTTTTCTAAGCCAAGACAAAAATACTATATGATTATAGAAAAAGATAGTAATCTTTGAAGCACGAGAAACAAGTTAGCTTATATGAGGTAATAAGAGATGTCTTTCAATATCAGATTCAAACAATGTGCTGCACATGGGGACCAAAAAATGTTTTCATACTTATTGTGAATGAGCCTTCCAACTGCTACATAATTTGCTGCATTATTAGTCACTACATGCACAATATTTGCAGGCACAATCCATTCAATAACATCAACAAACAAATTGTACAAATTTGTTGCATCTTTCACCATGTCTGAAGCATCAACAGATTTAATGAATGTCATACCTGCGGGACAATATACCAGGAAGTTAATCAAAGTTCTTTGCCTCTGATCACTCCAACCATCTGCCATAAGTGTGCACCCAGAGCTCTTCCAATTGCTTCGATAACTTTCAACGAGAAGCTGACACGCTCTTTTGCAATCTCCCAACAAGTTCACCCTAACATCATTATATGAAGGACCTTTAAATCCAGGTCCAATGGCAGCAATTGCATCTAAAGCTTGCTGAAAATAACAAGATTGGGTCACATTAAATGGAATGCAATTGGCGTAGAACCATCGAGCAAGAGCCACGTTAGCATTTTTCACCGCCTCTTTGGTCGCAAACACACTTTTAAGGCCTGGCTGAGAACCTGGGGTTGTCCTCGGCGCAAAATATCTATCGACAAGACCAGTGACGGCTTTTCTCTTCCCTTTACCTGTAGCCGGAGTAGGCTCGGGTACTTTTCGCACTTCTTCAGGTGCATTTGCCGTGCTCCCTTCCTCATAATCATCATAATTAGGATCATCTTTTTTTTTGCTTTACTTCATCCAAGTGTGCTGCCATCCGAGATTTAACATCGTGCGTCACTTCCTTAGACGGAGCTATTTCTCCCTTCTTCCCAGCTAAATGATGTTTCATTCGATGAATTCCCCCACCTTTGAATTGTTTCTTACAGAACAAACAAGTGTATGTGGACTTTCCATTCCCACGAATTAAATTGACAAATTCCCAAGCAGGATAAGATTTTTCACGGCTAGATTGTGTCAATAGCATTTCATTATTTGAACCCTCCATACGTCTGAGCCTGTGACGGAGAGCTGGTCGGTCGGACCACAAGAGCTGCTCGATACACAACAACAGAGAGATTAGTGAACAACGAACATGTGATAAACCAATAAGTATACGTCTTAGTTTAAGAAATCAAAACCAAATAATCAAATAAACATAAGATAAGACCTTAGCGAATTCAGTAAATGAATATATCTATAGCCTCGGTTTAATTTAATTACAAGACAAAACAAAAACGTTCACTTTCTCAACTAGACCGAGCAAATCAAACACAAAAATATTTACGTACTCGAATCCCACGACTGTAAACACTAAAGACTAAATCATCTCCCATTTTTTTCCCCATTAATTAGAGTAATAGTCAACAAAAAATGAAAGAAAACGAAAACAAGGATTGGGGGAGAGAGAGCGAGACCTCTGTGCCAACTCCGTCAGAAAATGAGACCGCACGGCGACGGGCACCGACCGGAGTTGCGGGCCGATGTCGATGATGGAGGCGGAGATGTAGAGAATAGAGATAGGGTTTTGAATTGGGATTTTTTGCTTTCTAGATTTTGGAGAACGGGAACGAGCATGAGTGTATGAGTTTCTCTCTCTGTCTTTTCCTTTTGTTCGGTTCTTTTTATAATTTATTAATTTTTTATTTTTTTTTAATATTGGGCTCATTTCAGAACCGTTGAACCGGCCGAACCGGTACCGGTTCACCGGTTTTATGGGTTTTTAACTGGTTTGGACGGTTCGAAGACGGTTCTTGCTCTCAGCGGTTTAAACACTAAAACCGGACCGGTACTAGGTCCAGTTCTCGGTCAAACCGGTCGAACCAGCCGGTTCGGTCCGGTTTTGATAACATTGATGAAAATAGAAAATGCAAATGACATTTTGAGTTCTTTTTATTGAGATAAATTATGTGAAACCAGCTAATTTTGTATAGATTCCACGGCTCTATTTATCATAAATGGAAGATATAACAATATTTCAACATCATTTTAGGTTGAATGAGAAAGTAAAAATTTAAGTGTCAGATGTAGAAATAAACGAGTTTTAGTTTCTCAAAAGTGTTGGCATCGGGTGAGGATCATCGATTTTGTGCGAGTAACAGACAACTAAAGATTAAGCTCTATGCGCAGCGGAACTAGTAGCATGGGTTTGGGTACCATTTAATATTTTGTCGACTCTGAGACGTTTGTGATTTCTGGTGTTGGAGATCGTCTGAAACATATAATCCGTTGGACTGCCGGACTAGGCCTCTGTTAGTGTTATATACTGAAAGCTTGGCTTTGCATGTTATTACACATTTACCCTTTATGAATGAGAATCATGTTAGATTAAACAAGTTCTACGTTCTGTTGTTCTGCACTTAGATAGGGTGGGTCGTCATCGGGCGAACCGAAGATCACTCTATCAGTCACTTGCGAACAAGAATAGTTGTTCACAACCTAGATGGACATGAACACCCCATCCGAACGGTTGTAGTGTCAACTGTACAGTTTGTCTTGACTGATTAGTTGCACTAGTACATTTATGTATTGAACAGGATCCCA